CGAAGATTTGCTCCCCCCACCAAAGGGCAAATGTGTGTTCTGTTTACTACTCATCTAAACTACACTGCTTACACAAAATCATGTAAATTAGATCAATTGTGGCTTAGGCTTTAGCATAGGTACTAAGGTGTCTGGTGTTACCAGTATTGAGGTGGTTGGCATCAGTTCTTCAGGCCTTCATGATACTGCCTGACTGCAGGTATAATGTGTGCTCAAATGAATGTTAGCCAAAAGGCTTCTCTAGCTTCTCTGTGACAGGGATTGTTGTTCTTTTGGTTTGAAGTTGCTCTCACAGAGTGCTCTAGCAGATGTAGCTTGCGGTAAGCAGCCTTAAATTGTAGGTCCTTGAAGAAAAAGACTGACACAAAAAGCACCTGTATTGGAAGAAAACCTTATGCTGGATTAAAAAGACACTAGGGATGGGGACCAGTCTGCTGCAGCTTCTATAAACACTTCTCAAACTTGTGAGATATTTTGCTTAACTTCAATCTCAAAGTGGCATGAAGATTATTATCTGACCATAACTTTTAAGAAAAACTAGTCTTTTTAACAAAAACTCCCATATCATACACATGCACACACTCACGTATAAGAGATAAAGCAATAACAGCTGCTTGACACCTCTTTACAGAGAGCATTTTGAACATAAAAGGTTATAAAACATGCTTCTAAATATAAAGAAAAATGACATTGAATAATGATTTGCAAGACATCTTTTGAGAAGGCAAGTGTGCTGAATCACTGACAAGTTAAATTGCATTTTAATCAGTTTTAAAAGTACTCATGGGCAAAGTAAGACTATTTTATTAAATTAGTGACCTTCTGTCTAAACAATGCTGTTCAAAAATGTTTAAAGGCTCTTTATAACTAAAGCAGTGACTTGCCACCTCAAAAAAACCTGTAGTCATTTACAATTGTGATAAAAAACATAAAAAGCAAAGACCAGTTATGTTTGGGGAATCCAGGGGAAAATCAAGAGATTTAAACTAACAGTACTTCTAAGAATAGAGAGGGAGGTAGTGGTGTTTGCCTAAAGGTAGCCAGATGGTAGAAGAGGTTAGTACCTTATAAACTCATTCAGAGAGGCTTGAGCTTTCATGAGCTACAACCTACTTTGTGAGATGCTATGAAACTTCACAGAAAATTTTATAAGATCAATCTTTAAATCTATGGAACTGATTTTTAGCCTACAAAAGCTCATGCCTCTCTGAATGAGTCTATAACAGGGGTGGGCAAAATGCGGCCCATGGGCCGGATGTGGCCCGCTAGGCCATTCTATCTGGCCCATGGGGCCCCTAAAAAATTGAGAAAATTAATATTTATCTGCCCCTGGATGCCTACCATGCGGCCCTTGATGGCTTGCGAAAACTCAGTAAGTGCCCCTCCGTCCCAAATAATTGCCCAGCCCTGGTCTATAACATGGGTTTTCAACCTTTTTGGGTCAGTGTATCCCCAGTGGCCGGATGGTGTGTCACCCACTCCGGTGTCCAGGGCTGCACGCAGATGCTTCTCTCCCATCAGGGTTCATAAACCCTCCTTGAGGTTCCGCTGTGTTTTCTTTTAAAACAGCTGACAGAGAAGACAGAAGTTTCTGTCTTTCCTTACTTCAAATCCCTTGTTAGGACACTCACCACTATGTGGAAGACTCAGGTTCAATTCCTGCCTTGACCTGCAAGGATTCAAACTCACTTTAGTCCATGTCTATTTAAAATAAAATGTATAAGCAGTTCTTGGAGCACAGCCCAGGCCTCAAGAACACCCTTTTAAAAGTGAGTGCCTTACCCACTAGACTACACAGATTACTCTCATTTGTTCCCTCTCTGGCCCAATGAACATTACATTCTTTTTTGCAAAGTGAAATAGGGCTGAGGGCCTCCCACCCAAGCAATTATACAGCCTGGTGGTCAGAAGACTGCCAAGAAGTGAGAGATGCGGAGTTGGAATCATCCGAGACAGAGGATGGAATTGAACCTGGAAGTATATTATTTACTATTAGTTTAAAATTAATTTTGACATGGAAATAAATAACAATTCTAGAGAGAGATGGACATATGTAATTACTGTATTTTTACACATATGATACAGTGCCCAAAATAAACATGTACCTTGTTTCTGGAAGGCAGAAGATTGGGAAAATATCCTCCCCTCCTTCAAGTCATGGTTGACTGTGTGACATTAAGTCATCCTGGGAATAGAGTATCTAGGAAGTGTGCCATGCCAGGAGAGCCTGGGTGAGGCAGCAGGAATCTCCACACCAGGAAGTTTCTGGTGCCAGCTGCCTCAGCCAGACTGCCTCCTGGGATGCCATGCTTCCTGGACACTTTATGCTCCCAAAATTACTTATTCCATGTCACACAAGTTTAGGCCCCAGCCCTTTGCAAAAGTAAGACTATTAGTTCTTTATTACAAGTAATTCTTTATATAAAAGTTCCTGTAAATAAAGAGCTACTTCCACATCAAAAGCCTCATCAGGATACTACCAGGACTTCTCTTGCTCCTTCAGGCACAAGCTGCGGTGCCCAGTCAATAGCTACGGCTGAGAGAGTTAACATAAGACTCTACCCCTTTAGCTTGCTGAGCCAGACAAGTGGCAGCTGCATGTCATGCACATCTCCAGGCATGCTTCTGTTCCAGCAAAGACAACAGTTTCTTGCTTAACCCCAATTTGGAAGGGCTGATTTTGAGGGAAAATGGTGCAAATGTACACAAACAAATATAGTACTTTGTAAGGGGTAATAGTAAGCTTATTATAGAAAGCTATTAGTAATAGCCAAATTAGCTATTATACCTCCAATTTTACATAGCCAGCTTTATTTCTTCCTTCTCTTGGCGTTTTAAAAGACAGCTGCCCCTGCCCTTCATGTGAAGACTGATCCATGAGTACGCTCAGAAAATGAACGCCATTCGGAACGTGCAAAAGCAAGCCTAGGTTCTGAATTCTAAATGGGCTTTGGAGTGAGAGAATCATTCCCTGGGAAGACTAAGATGCTTTTGGGCATGCACAGAAATAGACTGTAGGATTAGGAGCTTTAAAGGCAGTTACAGAATTTAGGTGCCTCAGACTCAGATGGGCTGGATGGGGATTTAAGATAGCAGTTCTTTACTTAGGCATCCCAATTCCACCCATTTTCCCCTTCAGAAGCCTAACTGAAAACAGAAGTTCTCTTTCCTTCTTTCCTTTTTAAAATCCAATTGAGCATATAATTAGCTTGATACCTTGTCTTGACATTCTGGTGCAGGAAAAATGCCTGGCTTAGATCTGCTGGGAGAACTTTTGTTCCCAGTAGATGTCATTAATTAATTCAAATATGGCCACAGAGGGGGCAAGAAATTACATTTCTTTTTTAAATTGTGGGGCATCTTTTAAATTTGGCAAAAAGCCATAGTAGTGGGTGACAAGCACTCTGGCATTTTTGAACAGGAATATAATTAGCAGCTTAAGTGAGAGAGAGAGAATTCACACAACTCTCTCAAATTTCAGAAACGGCTGGAAAAAATAAATCAAATGTCGGTAAGACTGGAATATACACTGGAATATAGTGTGATCTCAATAATATAGCAGTTGAAAATTTGTTCATGTTGGTTTTATCCTGAAGTGCTGCAGATGAAAGATCTCTTTGGAAATTAAATAGAAGAGTTTTCTCTATCAGATTTGCTGTTAAGAGTTTTCTGAAAGGCATATGGAGCCCAAATCCCTTGTACTTCAGGTTTTTAATACTTTACGGGATATTAGTTTCAGAAATTAGTGATAGTGTATGGATACTTTTCTATTTACTTTGAAATGTAAATTACCTCTTTCACTAGGACATAGAACACATTTAAAGACATAAGTAAGCCATATTTCCCACATTGGGGTATATGTACACAGGCATCAGTCCTGTAATGCTTTATGTGCACTGTAAATGATCAAAACATTGTATGACCAAATAACGTGAATTTGAAGGGCCAAAAAAACTTCTCATCTACTGACTAGAAAGCCACCTGACCATTTGCCTGCTGCGGCTGTGGCTGAGTCATCCTCCATTCTCTGGCAAAGACAAGCTTCTTAAAAATGCATGAACATAGGTTTATTTTACTCCTCCTGATTATCGTGCACTTCAGAGTGATTTTTGATTTCTTGCATCTTAAAACTCTCAGCAGCTGCATTTTTAAATAATTTTTTTAATGAAGTACAAACACTATAAAACAGCAGTCACCTCATTCTATCAAACAATCTTCATATATTTGTATTCTCTATGTATTTAAGAGAAGATAAAAAAAGATGGAGTTTGTTTTTTTCTGCAATTTTTAAACATACAATTGCTAAAAAAATCTATTTAGGCTTAACAATCTGCTTATTATTAGCACGTGTTTAACTAGCAACACACTACTTGTTTACTTGTGTTTTTCCTGAGGATTTATTTTCATTGCTTATACTATTAGACAAAAAGCCTTGTCAGCAAAAACTACCTGACAATATGTAAATGGTTCATGCCAGAAACCTGCTGGACTAGGTACTTAAAAGTGGGTCATCAAAAAATAACAACAGAATTCTCTCCTCCATTATGTACCAGCTGAACCCTCTCCCTGCCCCTGCAGTTAAGATTAGTCTTTTTTTTTTTTTTAAGAGACTAAACAAATTTCTCTCTACTAAATTGTTTAAAGTGTCAGAAAAAATAAAACGGGGAAATAGCTAACATGCTATTTTTTCCTCCATACCATAGAGAGAAGCTGCTATAATAAATACACAATTTGACATGTACAAGAAGCACCCACATCAGAATACAGAGACAATGGGCTTTCTTCAGCTTTAAAGCTCCATCTGGCAGCATTTCTGTTAGAGATGGCAGCCGGAAGATCTATCAAGTACCAGCAAAGCAGTTCTGCCACTGCAAACCGATGCCTACACAGAGACTGCTCTGTTTTATTTTCTGTGTAAGGTCTTACTGGTAAGAGAGAGAGAGAGAGACAAAGAAAGAGAGACACTGGTAACCTAGCTTTTTGAGAATTGGGTCTCTTACCTGCAATGCAACATCATTTAGCCCAATCCCACAGATTTGGTAGCATCCTTTCTTTACTGCTATGGCTGCAACACCAATGATGTCATGGGGAGGAAGCAGTAACAATCACATGACTGCATTCTCCCTCTATAGGATATCTGATAGGGAGAGGGAAAGGGAGAAAGACTGGCTTGTAATCCTGCAACATTCAGTTGAGGCAGTGCAAGCATACTCAGCCTTTTCATATAGTGTCGCAATTTACAAATCTCTAGTCATCAAAATGGAAAACAGCTTTTTCAGATCTAGAAAGGGGGCTATGATTTGTTGTTACAGCAATAATAAATCATATTGGTAGTATGGAAAAACTGAAGTGGCTATGAAATCTCTGTGCCCATATGTTATATTATTAATATATCACAGAAATCCTCAGATGCACTATTACGTATTTCATAAAATGACAGGGTGTAATAAACATGTTAGTTTGAAAATGGCACAAGCCACAATTTCATAATGGCTCTGCAATATTCTGACATGCCTGATTCTCACCTTACTCTTTCTTTCCTTCATTTGCCCAAAACTTCTCAAAAACATTCTTTTTTTCAAAATCCATTTTGTATTCTTGGAACACTTACGTGGACTTTCTTCTATCTTCTGCATCAGTTCTGCTTACCTTTACTTTTAAGACTCAGCACCTCACCGTCTCTACTCTTTTCTTCATCAATTTTGCTCTATCCATAACTGATATTGATCCTATTTAGTGATCCTACCCCTTCTCCAAACAGTCCCTCGTGTTTGAAATAGTCCCTGTACATGTGTACAAATCTATTACTGCTCTTTCAGTCAAATCCCTCCCTGACATTTTTCCATTCGATCCTTCCTTATTTTTTCATGAAGTATTTCACAGGCATTACATCCTTAAAGATACTATATATTCTCACATACAACATAATACCCTCTCCACAATAATATAATACATGCATCTAGTTTTTGAAAGGCAGAACAAAGAAAAAAAAAATCTTTATTTGAAAATATTGGTAACTAACTCACTCAATCACAGCAGCTAGGGAGCCCAGGGTGCTCACTGTTCTTCTCCCTGTAGAGTATGTGTAGTCTTACTTCTGCTTTCCCTGTCAAAAGCTTAGGCAGCAGAAACTGCTATTTCTGTATTTCCCCATTTATAAGCAGGGATCCTGGTTTTCTCTGATTAAAAAAATCCCCAATTTGGGGGTTAAAAAAAAGCAACCCCAAATCCAAATTTTTCCATGATTAAAATGAAATGCCACTATTGCATAGACTTTTGTACTTTTGAAACTCCCACCCTACTGCAACAATAGTTTCAATGCAGATTATTAGCTGACATTGCAGATTTTAGCTGAAATTGAGATTAGCACCATTTAACTTATCAGTTGTCCAGGTGCCTCATTTCAGGAATTTCTGTGCAACTTGCCAGATAATGTAAACATTAACAAGGTTAATAAGATAGTAAATTGTTTTAATTAAATCAGTATGAACACAGGAAATTATTTTTACTGTACAAAAGTTTCTAAATTAATGGTTTTCTTCTCCCATTTGTATTGGTTATTCCCACTGAACTCACCCTAAAGTTTAGTTTTCTCCCCAACACATGCTTCAGGTATATTTTTAGCGTGACTATCTCATTACTACTACACTGAAGGAACACTGCTGGCATGCTACCTAACCGACCACAGAAAATGAAATTATAACACCCAGACACTTACATGCAACTTCTGTATTTTACAGAAACACATGTAACTAAAAATATCCTCTAAAAGGTTTTAACCCCGCAAATGCTGGTTATTTTCTAGCATTTCAGCTATACAAATGGTTTAAAATACATAATTTATGTTCACCATTTCCAAATATTTAACACAAATTCCTTTCAAGAAATCCAGTCAATTTATACACTTGTACTGAATATTGAAAAAGAAGCTATATTTAACATAATGTTTTGAAAAAGACTGTGCCAAGGAAAGCAAAACAATTTCATGAGCCTCTGAAATATTCTCCCTGCAAATGAAACTTTTCACTTCTCACATAATATTTTCTATTTGTAGTTTTCCTCTGAACTTAAAAGTACACTAGATGTATAAGAAGCATGGTCTTCACTCAGAATAAAATTCTGTATGTTATATTGGTACACAACAAGATCTGCAGTTAACATTGATATATATGATTAGCTGAGCCCAAGAAGTAAGTAAAACATTATAGAAGCAAAACATTTATGTAACACTTACTTTAAAGTAGCATCCTGTAATATATGCAGCATAGCAGCAGTAGAAAGGACTGTAAGATTTTTGTTTTTATAATGTAGTGTTCTATTAACGTACCCATTTTGTTGTTTATGATGGCAGTGAATGAGTGAAAGCTAAAATGTCCAGACTCTTTCTAGAGGATGGTTTAAAAATAGTTCTAACTATTGTATTCACTTGTAAACACTGAAATGAGAACAGCATCATACGTTCAGTCCTATCATCTCGTCTGTGCTTATGCCGTCTAGAGCTGCACAGCTAAAAATGTAATCCATCATTTCTCCACACATATTGCGTATCCATTTTCAGATATCTCCTGTAAAGAAAGTGTTCTGGTCTGGCTCAGGAACAGAAAATGAGACTAAAATTCATATAACGGTATATATCTTTATTTTGTGCAATTTTGAGAACCCTACTGTGCAGTAAATTCATAAACGAGAAGAAATATGAAAAAGCCATCTGCAGCACATCTATGCAAAATACAAATTAAACCTTAGTTGGGAAATCTTGAACACCTTTTTCCAAGGGCAACTGTTCATCATAGCAAAAAATATATAAAAATAAGTCCAGAAATAACTTAATTATGAGCATCTGGCATAGATGTCACCTTTATTTTCAATAGAGTGGTAGTGGGAGAATATTTCCATGCCTGGCACTGCATCCTTTTCACGGCTCAAGGTTAATCTGTTAAAACTGTTTGGGTTTTACAAGCTCCCTAATCCTGCCTGTTAATTTGAAACATTACTACATTGAACTAAACAACAATGCTCAACAATACAAAAATTACTTTGTAAAGGGTATTATTACAGTACACTTAATGTAAACTATTTCAACCATCATCTTATAAGGTGGTAATCAACAAAGATTTGTTCACATTTTTGGCAAATTATTTTATTTTGTAGAAGAAATACTTTTCAAATAATACAAATGACATAATCATACAGAGTCATGACAAAAACAAGAGAGATGAATACTGAATATGATGACTCATTACCACATCAAAATAGGACTTATTACAACAGTCAGAAACTTAGACTGGCAAAATATACGGATGCTGTACAGTGGTCACCATGTAAAATGAGCAAGATATACCATCAGATACTTCACCTTTATTTCCTATTCTAAGTTTACAATAAGTTTGTGATATCTCAGATACCACTGCATAGCAACTGTTGGTAAACAGTGCCATTTTTAATGGCAACCACTGTAAGCAACATGCATGAATTCCCTCTAGCGTACTGAGCTCTTCAAGTAATGAGCAATGAAAAAGGTGCTGTCCTTAGACTTTTATCCCAACACTGACATGTCTTTCAATTGTCTTTATTTACTTGTTTTGAGTTGATGTACTGTGCATTTTCATATCTCTCTTATCTAGATACAAGAACCTAGTCCACAGCTATCTAAATCCACTGCCAAGAAGAGACACATGAGGGTTCTTACTGTGACAAAGCCAAATATTCCTCAATTTTTCATACTCTTTTTGGCAAGTCAAATGATGGGATGGTTCAAACTTCATGGACAATGCCAGGCAAAAGGGGACAGAATTAATTTTATACTTTCCATCCCTGGAATCAAGTAGTACTTGCTTACTTATTTAGCATTTTTAATTTAAAATATTTATCACAACTTACGTTCCACTTTCTTTTTGCCTCATTTTGGGCAATGAAAAGAGACTCAGTTTGACTTTCAGGTTCTCGTGCTATTACAGAATGCTACAATGAACGCGTTTCAAACATTAAGGGAATGTCGACTTGTGTATAACAAAATAATAACAATATTCTATTGGTCATCAGTCTAGCATATTTATTTATTTTTTTTATGAAACCCAAATTCAGGGCCAAATTTGATCTGATGCCCTCCCATTAACAAAGAGAAAGCTATATTTTTGATCTGGTTGTTCCAGCAATTTAGCTGAATAAGCCTTGAACATGGCACCCTTTTCGGCTGTTAACATATAATTAGAAAAAAATATTAGAAATTGCATATAGTAGCTTAGTAAGAAGTATTTTTACATCCTTGCAAGATGCAAGGACACAAAACTGGCATTCTCGGGAATTTAGGGTGACAGTCCTATATTAAAGCGATTGGTAACAAGTAAAGCTACTCCTTACCAAGTCCTAGCAGGCCCAACTGACAATCAAGTGAGCTCTTTATTCTAGGGCCAGATGGTTCCTAGGAAGCATTTCTATTCAAGAAAGCACTCATTCATGTGCTTTGACAGCCTTCTTGAAGAGAGGTGCTTTACAGAATTGGGGCTCAAATGCTTTTCTGCATCAGGCCATGATCTTGAAAACTGTTCAAATGCTATATTCATTTAATGATTATATTAATATGACAAACTTACAATCCCCCTTTAGCTCCCTGTTTATAAAACCAGCAAAAACAAAGACCTGCCACCCTTCTTCTTCCCCCGTTTAAATTGAGAATCAAGAATATAAAGATACATAGAAACAACTGAAATGAAAACAATTGATTAGCGCACAGTAAGAACATGCAAATGAATTCTGCAATGTTTACTGGCATTTTAATCAGTATTAAAAACACTGCAGGAGATAATATTTTTCTATAACACAGACAGTGCTAAAGGATATAATGTACATAATAAGATACAGAGAGTAAAGCTGATAAAAGTGACAAAATTTAGAACATAGTATTTTCATTTCAGGTATCAGAAACAAAACCAGCTCAATGGTTCCATTCTACTGTATGACAAATACTGAAGAACAAAAATTTCAGTCTTAAAATACATCTTAAAAGTAGGTATTTTCCTTCAAGGAAAAAAGACACTATAAATAAATTACACTACAGTGAATTTGCCTGAACTCACTTTGTTTCTGTCTTCCAGCCTTTAAGTCAAATAAAACAGCATAAAAACTGTACACGCTCTCTTAAACAGGATAGGTGATCTTTTATAAAATAAGTTGTCTTCAGAGATGTCAATTTCACAACAAGGAAAAACCAAGCCTTGTTGCAGTCACTATTATAAAATATATATATGTATATATATATTTATATATATGTTTTTGTTTACTTTTACTTTTTTATTTTTTACAAAATGTGTATATTAGCTTTTACACAAACTTTGTTTTAAAGAAACAGCTAGTGTAATAACTTCATTAAAATAAAAGAGATAAATACTTCATGTTTACAATGCAACATGTCATACATCATCAGCTGGCAGAGGAGGTATGTTTATCCTTGGTCTTGTAAAAAAAGCTATCTTCTCTCTGTATTTGAAAACACACAGATAAAAAGGAGGTGAATCAAATATATATACAGTTTTTATTTAAGAAAAATTCAATATTTATTTAGCGTAAGGACCACTTTAAATCAAATACTTAATGAGAGAGATTTATCAGAGAATCATAGAAATGTAGGGCTTGAAGGGACCTCAGGAAATCATTCAGTCCAGTGGTTCTCAAGCTTTTTTTTTTTTTAAATATACCAGGATTCATTTGTAAACATTGATGGCCAGTCCTGAACCAGCGCCCCTCACTCCTGACCACTCCTCCACCCCCAGGTCCCAGCCCTCCAGTGTGGGAGGCAGGGGGTGGGTATGGAGGGCAGTGGGAGCCCCAAGCAGCCCTTGCAGGCTGAAACTCTGCCAGCCTGCAAGGGAAAAGTTATGGTTTCCCATGTTTTTCTCCTTTAAAGGAGATTCTATTTTTAAATTTTGTTGATCCATTTTCAAAGTTTATTTGTGACCCTTTCATATATTTTTGTTATTCACTTTTGGGTTGCAACCCATGGGTTGAGAAACGCTGATGAAGTCTAACTCCATGCCTGAGGCAGGATCATCCTTATTTAAAGCATCCCATACAAATCTTTGTCTAACCTGTTACTAGCCCTACACAGTCAACCCTGCTGCACAACTACAAGGCACAGCACCCTAACCCACCACAGGTAAAGCAGGGGGACAATGCTGGTCAGTGCCCTGCTGCTGCAAAGCTGTTAAAGTGTGCTCAAGAGATCAGGGGAATACATCAAAGGCTTGGTGAATAACTGTTCACCAGGGCACCCTTGGGGAAAACCAGGCATAATGGTCACAAACTCCTGGAAGACCGTTTCAGGCTCAACTGTAGGGAAAACTTCATCATAGTCAGGGTGTCCAGACTGTGAAATAAACTCTCTCCAGAGGTGGTGCAATCACCTACACTGGAAATCTTCAAGAGGAGACTGGACAGTCACCTTGCTGGGGTCACCTGACCTCAGTTGTCTTTTCTGCTGGGTGCAGGGGGGCTGGACCTGATGATCTTGAGAGGTCCCTTCCAGCCCCTCACAATCTATGAATCAACAGAAAGGACCATGCCCCCTGCTGCAGACCAAGCCAAAATCTCCCACAGTCCATAATAAACCAAGTCCAATTTATAGTTTTAGAATTACTATTCTTTTGGATATAAGAGAAAAGGAACACATACAAGAATAAATTAAAATAGGTGCCATATTTATGGATTAATCTATTTAAGGGAACAGGGAAATTCTTATTCATATTTTTCCTTTTTTTCCTTGAACAACCAACTTACACACTAGAATAAGTTTGAAAATAAATTGTGTACATGTAGATCACATGCATTACGGAACAGCTTTGTATTACCTTTGTATACCAGCCCTTTCATTTGATTTATTCCCCCCCGCTTTGTGTTTCCTAATATATAGGTGTGATGCCCAAAACCAAAACGGTTAATGAGCAACTTATAGCAAAAAAAATCTGCTTTTTGAAGGCATCTGAAAATATTGGCTAAAATAGACCTTATGAAACTGCTTCCTGTAAATGTTTCCTGCCTGTCTGAAGTATAACTGTAAAGAATATACAAATATATTATTATATACACATATATAGAACTGTTTGTACTGGTCATAAGACAGACATAAGTTTTAAAAAGCAGAACGAAAGTGAAACTGCGAACTTAGCTGATTTAATACATTTTTGCTTGGAGTCAGTAAGATTAACAAACCTAACCACAAGGTATAATTAACATATCTTAAAAAATTATTATTAGTGGATTGAACTTCAGGCAGAAAACATGTTAATCTCAAACCCCAAAGTGATGTGGTGTGATTTGCTTATTGGGTTAACCCAAGCTTGGGCAGTAACCTATTATAATAATTTCTAACACCTTTTAACCCCATAGGGTAACAGCTATAGGGTAAGATTGTGAGGGGCTCTAAAGCAAACAAATTAACATAGAACACACATGTTAAGTGACCAGCAGGAAGGATGGAACAGAATGTTCATTGCTGTCCCATGCCCCCAGATCCCTTACTTCCAGTGTGAGCGAGGACCAGATCCTAACTGAGGGACCTTCCTCAGTGCTCCCTCCAACAGCGTGGATCAGGGACGCCCGACTTCACTGAATCAACTTGATGTGTACCTGACACTAAGGAACTATCGAAAAGTTGCTAACCAAGTGGGAACTCTTTGTTAATTTGTCTGTTTTTATTATCACTGCCAATTCTTAATTTTTATTGTTAGGTTGTCTGTTTATTAGCTTAACCTCTTTACTAACTGTTATACGTATAAACTATATCTTTTGCTGTTATAAGTAAAATTCATTTTTACTCTTAAGTGGAACTTGTCATTGCTTCCCTCCCAACTTCACCTCCTTGATCCCGAACCAAACAGCCCAGTGGCTGATACAGTTGCAGCACTCAGTTAGCCCATAACTAAATTGATACATTCACAGTGCCCAGCTGGCCTGTGACAACAGGATTCATGTAATCTGCTACTTTAAAAATGAAAAATATCAAACCAAACTTACAACACTTCTCTCTCTTCAGTTGCTGCCTAGAGGGGCTTGTCCCCTTCTTATCGTACTCTAATCAGGAGCAACAATATACATCCCTGGCCCTTGGACCTGAGGATCTTCAGCTGTGTTCAGTTGCACAAAGCTTTGTCCACACTGCACTGCAGCTGGGCACTGGGGAGGTTTTCCCATGCTGCAGTTAGTCTGCAGTAAGAAGCAGTGGCAGCAGTATTGGAGATAGTGGGCAGGTCCTAGTACTGTCCTATATCAGACCTGAGTCAGGTCATTCTAACCTGTTGCAGCACAAAGATTGCCTATCAATGCCTTAACTAGAAAATGAACTGAGCTTGGAGTTGTGTTGATTTTATTGAAGCCTTCCCAGTGCTTCTAACACAAATTCAAGTAAACAGGTTTTAACAGCCAAATATGAAGCTACAGTCAAATATGAAGATGTAACTATTTTTTCCTGTCCAGTCACTTCACTGCAGCAGTTACTCATTGCTAAAACTCTTCATGTCTTGGCATCTGTACAGTAGCTTATATATGAAACAAACTGCTATTTTTGTCTCAATAATGTGTGTTAATGTTTAACAATGCCACTGACAAGCAAAACGAACACTGAATTTGGCAAAAGAAAGAGAGCAGCAACTATGGAGGACGAGGGGATTGGAAAGGAAAATGCACACAGAGAAGACAGTGAAAGGGAGGAGGATAGTAATAGGAACAATACGGAAAAGCCGTTACAGGAACAGCATTCATAGATTTCATAGACATTAGGGCTGTAAGGGACCTCGGAAGATCATCGAGTCCAGCCCCTCGCCCAAAGGGCAGGAAGTCAGCTGGGGTCATAGGATCCCAACAAGATAAGCATCCAATTTACTGCAATTGTAAATATATAATGTTAAATGATCTAATTTTGCTTACTTGGATGTAACTGGCACTTGGAGAATTTGGCAAATCCTACAAGCTCCATTTCCCAATGCCCTACAGAGGCCTTAATATCAATCTATGGATTTACAGCCCAAGATAGATGCACACAATGTACAGATTTTTTTTTGTATTAGAGCCTAGTTTTATTTGCTTTCTGAGAGATACTGCAGCTCTTCTTTCATTATTATTCCTGGTACTATAAATTGTTGCAAGGAAAAGCTCATTCAAATCAAGCAAATAATGAAAGGGCTCTGATACAGTACCCATCCCAGATGATCTGGATCTACCAAATTAGTAACTACAACATGTTAGTCAATTCAGAATCATGTAGAGCAGTGATTCTTAGCCAGGGTGCCATGGGGTGACACACAATATTAGTACTGTATGTTGTGCAAACATGAGTCACAAGATCAACCAAGAAATTTCAAATAGGATTCCATAGCATCAAAAAACATTCTGACCTGTTGTGATCAAAGCTCTTTGCAACAAAAAAACTGCTGTATTATTTTTCTGTCATCAAAAATGAGTGAAAACAGAGCTGGTATTTTCTGAAGGATGCCTTGACCTAACAATGGAGTCTTGATTCTAAAAAGATTAAGAACCACTGGCTTAGAGACATAAGCATGCACTACTTCCCATGTATGTTACTGCTTACCTGAAAGTCTGCACCTGAATAGGCTCCTTCTGATTTTGTCCACGTAGCTGGTATATTTCTTTGGATGCTTTCTTCAGCATTTTTTCAGCTGCTTGTTCTTGATGATGTTCAAATTTGGTCTGTCTTGTCTGAAAATTAATATTAAAACAAAACTATATACTAATTTTGGAAACAGAGATGAAAGCTCCTGGAGATTCCTAATAGGCTCTTTGACTTCTAAAACACAACTCCCCAACCTGTGGTCTTAAAAAAACCTAAATTGCCCAAAGTCATAGGTTCAATTTTGATAAGACTGTTTCAGAAGCAATAAGGGCTGAAACATACATATTAAACCTCTTCTAGTTCACTGTGTTTGGAATTTCAAAGAAGAGAGAGGTTATATCAACTCTGTGGGTGTTTTGAAGATCCAATGACAACTTCTGCAGTGGTTTGTAGGCTTGTGGCCTTGGCTACAATTTACCATTATTGGGAATTAATAAGCATGTGCCCCAAGAAGACAGCACATGGAATAATACATAAATCAGCATACAGTCTTACAGAGGCCAAGTAGAAGAAATAATGCACAGAAATAATAATACGATTCTAATAGTAAATATCAGAAAGCATATTTTAAACTACTGATACATTCAAATTCTTAGGGGAGAGCTTTGAACTTTTCAGACAGATTAGACAATGCCATCCTCCTAGTCATCACCACAAGAAAATCACTAGGAATCAGTGCAGTGGTGTTTTGACAATGGTAGGGAGAGACAATAAGACAATGGTGAAGAAACAAAACACTGAAATCTTGTTATAACATCAGAAGGTTCCATTCCCTTAAGGGTGCATTTGCACTGAAGTAGATTTCATTAAGTTTGTGAACAGGCCCAACTTACAGCCCAGCATATCATACCTGCCTCTCTGCTTCCCTCAGCAAGTTTCGGAATCGCTCATCCCGAAGCACCCAGTGGGGTAGATCCGTCTGCCCTCTGAGTTGGGCATCTTCCAGACGTTGCCTCAACTCTCTCAAAGTACATATCTCCTCATTCAGCTGTCTTTGTCTAGTTCTGGATGCCTGGAGATCCAGCTCCAGGTCTAAGGATGTCCTTGCCATAAGCTCAGCCAAAGAAGATCTACAGGATTGCTGAATTATAATATAAATAAAAAGCATTATAATATAAATTATAAATATAAATTAAAAAATGGAGAGGTTACTCTCAACACGATACATTACTATGTTCTGATAAAGCAGATTTTTCAGGTATTCACTTAACTTTTTTGTCATAGGATTTAAAAAAAAATAAAGTAACTGATATCCTCTTGTAAAATATTGTGTTAATTTAGAAACACAGTAGGATCATAGGAAAGAAGCGCTGTAGGGATCTCAGTGAATCATCTAGTCCAACCTCCTCCTCAAGGGAGGATCATCCCCTGACTAAACTATGC